CCACAAAACACCCATGGGTCGCCCCACGAGCTTTCACACATGATCAGTTCAGCTCAGATATTGCACGAGCTTTGCACAGTTCGCCTCTCCATATGCACACGATTTACATGATGCCTCATTGAGTGCACGAGCTTTGCATGGCTCGCCTCGCTGAGTGCACGAGTTTTGCACGGCTCGCCTCACCATGAGCACGAGATTTACACGGTTCGCCTCGCCGAATGCACGAGGTTTGCAGGGCTCGCCTCGCCAAATGCACGAGCTTTGTACGGCTCGCCGCGCCAAATGCACGGTTCGCCTCGCCGAATGCACGAGCTTTGTACGGTTCGCCTCGCTGAATGCACGGTTCGCCTCGCCACATGCACGAGCTTTGCACGTCTCGCCTCGCTGAATGCACGAGCTTTGCACGGTTTGGGCAAGGCGAAGGTCAGGCTTGGCTTGTGCACGGACTTTGCAGGATCGCCTCGCCAGATGCACAAGCTTGGCACGACTCGCCTTGCCACATGCACAGACTTTACACGTTTCGGGTGAAGCGAGCTGTGCATGGTTTGGACGAGGCGAAGATATGGCTCGGCTTATGCAGAGATTATGCACGGTTTGGTTCAGTTAGGTTTCGTGCACATTCTTTGCATAGCTCGAAGTAATTTCTATACTAAGCCATTTTCTTGCTTGATCTCGTTAGGGTGAAAACCGACCCCAACACTTATCACATCAAAATAATGTGTTATTTACAGTACTTTGAAATGGTGGCATTTGTCGAGCTTAATGGACTTTTGTCGCAAATGGGCCAAGCCGACCTCTCTCTAGGCTAGGCCGGCCTTCTCTTCTGAGTCAGGTTGGCCTACTTTATGTGTTGACTTGCGTTAACTTGAATTGGATGAGCTTCTTTTACTTTTGGACCTAATAGTAATACCAACATTTCTATCTCATCTAGTTTCTTAATAAGTTTAGGAATATTATACAACTAGATTAGAACCTGCATATATGCAGATTTATAATAACAAAATATTAAATTCGATAAAGTTATTTGAAAAAATAAAAAATAAAATCAGATATTTAATTAAAAGATATATTAAAAACATAAAATTGACTTCTAATAGTTGTTTATTTAAATATTTGTTTGTTTTCAATTAAAATATTCAAAACATGTATTCTGTTGCGGGTCTTTAGGAATACTAGGTATATAACTCGCGCTACGCACGAGTCTGTAATAATATTTTAGTTTATTTTTTTAGCTACTACCTTTATATTATTAAAAATTATATATATTTATAGAAAATTTCATTTATATAAGAGAATTTAATATATAATGTGTAATTTAACCTATTTTTATTTATAAATTTTAAAAACTATTAAGTAAAATAATAACAATAACACCTATCGAATTATCTAACTTTGACGTACATATACATTTGATTTAGAAAAATATAATCTTGCTAAGATTTTGGTATTATTTTTTGTTTTCCTTAGAATTTCTATAGTTCTTTTTTTCTTGAAGGTTTATGTGTTCAAATATTTAGTTTTTTTATTGAAAGTCTTATTGATGTTGTGTACCACTGTATATATAATTCATGATTCATGTTGATTCACATTTAATTTTGTTAGGAAGCTGTAATGATCATGCAAAATTATTTTTTCCTTCTCCATCATGTCTTCCAAGTGTTTTATGCTATATTTTTATTCAGTTTTTTATTGTTTTAATTGTTAATGGTTATTTTTTATACATGTATTGTTAATTGTTAATTTTTTATTTAACTTTTAAATTTTTAACCCATATCAACATTTTCTGATTTAATAAATATGTTGATTTGGATCAATCAGATTGAATTTATTTTTTTTTGTTGGACATAATTTGTTAAATTAACTTTTAATATTTTAATTATACTTAATAATTTTTAGCATGATTTAAAAGCTGATGTGGACCAATTAAATCAAGTTTTTCTGTCCTAATCATACTTAATATTTTTTATTTAATAAATATGCTGATGTGGACCAATCAAATTTAGTTTTTTAATTTCAATGCACTATGCTATCAACTTTTATATATTACTAGGCTTTTAACTCGCGCTATGCACGAGTCTTTATTAATAATTGGGTTTATTTTTTTTGGTTAATATCTTTTAAATTATCAAAACTATAATATATTTGTAGAAATTGTCTTTTATATAAAAAAATTAAAACATAATATGTAGTATTTCATATTTTTGTTTATAAAATTATAAATCTTATTAAGTAAAATCATAGTATTTATACCTAACAAATTATCAAACTTCGATGTGCATATGTTTGATTTAGAAAATGATTTCCTTACTAAATTTTTGGTGTTTTGTTTTGTATCTTTAGAATTTCTATGGTTCTTTTTTATAAAAGGATTATATGTTTAAATATTTAGTTTCTTTACTAAATGTCTCACTAATGTTGTGTACATATATAATATATGATATATGTTAATTCAGATTTACTTTTGTTAGTAAGCTACACTAATCGTGTAAAGCTGATTTTCGCTTCTCCACCAGATCTTCTACGTATTTTAGGTTATATATCTATTCAGTTTATAAGATCTGTTTTATTTGCAGTCAACTATTTGCTAATATTTGTTTTTAAACATGTAAGATGATGTTGAGACTTCACATTATCACTGTTTTTTTTATATTTTGTGTGTTTATTCATGTTTTAATTTGAATATTTTATCTTCATATATTCCCATTTGAATTTGATTTATAACTTTGTCATATTATATTATTTAAATAAAATTTAGAAGATATTGCTCATGTGTTGTTCATGTTGACTAAGTTATAAACAGTAAATATGTATACAAATCAGACTTTATTACTTATTATATTTTGAATGTAAAGTTATTTGTGTAGTATTTTACTTTGTTAATTTTTTAACCAGACGCAACCAAGGTATTAATCTTTGTAAATTTAAATAATATGTTTGATTTAGAAACTTGTATAACCTATTAAAACTTTATATGGTTATTCATAGTCAACACCAATATTTTAGAAATCATTAATATTTTTGGAACTATATTTCAAACTAATTTTCTTCTTAGATCTTGTTTATTGTTATTTTAAATATCTTCAATGGTAATTTTATATTTTATTTTAATTATCTAATTTTCTGCAGGTTTGATATACTTAAAACATATATATTTTAATTAATCTTTTTGTTATTTTTTTTCAAATATGTAGCATATATATTAATCTAATATATTTTACATAAATTTTTTTTCTTTGTTAAATTTACTTTTTAAATTAATCAAATTTCTATTTTGACATGCTATAACTGGTTATTCTAAATTTTAAGTGAACTTCTCTCAAAAGCTTATACCATCATTTACTTTTTTTAGTTAATATTTGTTTGGTAGTTAGCCTAAATATCAAGCTAATTTTACTTTATACGACTTTTTCCTTTGATAATTTAACTCTCTTGATATTGATTTTTATTTTATTTTAACACACCATTGTTTTTAAAATACTGATCTTTTGAGGACATAAATTTTTTGTTAGTTAAATATTTTTATATGAATTTTTAAGTAGTTAGCCAGATATCAAGTCAATATATTTTTAAGTTTTTTTTTAAAAAATAATATTTTGTAAAACTTAATTTTCGTTTTAGTTTTTTAGTTAATTAATTTATTAATATTGATTTCTTAAATAATTAGCTTAAATATTTATATTATTTTTGTTAGTTAAGTTTTTTTAGTATTATTTAAGTTTTTTTATTCTCTTAATTATTCTGTTTATATTGATTTTGTTAAATAAATAATATAGATATTAAGTTAATATCCTCTTTTTTGTTAATTTAACTTTCTCGATATGGACTTTCATTTTAATTGTATTGATATGTTGTAAGAAATAATTTATTTTTTGGTTTTTGTTAGTTAAACATTTTTTTATATTGTTTTTTTCAGTAATTAGCATAACGTATCATTTTTGGTTTGTTAAGATTTTGTGTTAATTTTTTAAATATTTCCCCAAAATTATAAGTTTTAGATGACTTTCTTTTTTGATAATTTAAGATGAATGTTTTTTTGGTAGTATTGATATTTTTAAATAACAATTTTATATGTTTATATGAAAATTTAATCTTAATATTTTTTCTAAATAAATTACTCATTTAAAATATATACGTTAAATGTTTTTTTTTTAATTTAACTTTTTCGTTATTGATTTACATATTTGTTTTTTTAGTTTAGTTTTTGTAACAATGAGTTTCTATTTTATTTTCACAATAGATTTAGACTTTTGACATAAATTTATTTTATTAATTTAAAAAAATTATCTTAATTTTCCATTCTATTGTGATAATTTTATATTTTTCTATGTTTTAATTTATTTAAATTATTAATAATATTTTTTATGTTTAATATAAAACGCTGATATAGACTAATCAGATTGAATATATATGTCATATGTGGACGCTCTCATTGGCCTAAGACATCAACACAGACCACAACTAATATATTTTAAGTTACCAGTTCAGATTTTAATTGTTTGTCATGATTAAAATTTTAAAATAATTTAATTATTGTTTTAAATATAGTTTTTAATAATTTTGTTCAATATATATGATTTTCTTTCATAATCTATTTATATGTTAATTTATCTTTTTACTGTTAATGGAAAAATAAGATCTATTTTCAAAACTCTTTTTTATTAATAACTAACTTAAAATTTAGAAACTTTCCTAATAACAACAAAAACGAAATTAATTAAAAGTTACAAATTTTCCTTATAACAATTAAAACGAATTAATTAATTTTAATATACAATATATAATTAACTAAAAATAATGATGATGTGTACTAATAGAATTGAATCTTTAAATCCTATGTGGACACTTTTATTGGTATTTAGTATCAACTTTTATTAGTAATAGATATGATTAACCCTACTTCACTTATAGTTTTATATTTTATAAACAACTATTTCTGTTTTGCTGCATTAAAAACTTGGGTATGCAATTCTATTTCTTCCATTATGTTAACTCTCTCTCTATTAACTCTTTCCAAGCAAACAAAGTTTCTGTTTCTCTCCACATGCATCTCTAGTATATGATTTTTTTGCTTTCTAGAGAAGTCAAAACACTCGTGTCAAAAAGCTTTTTTACATTATTTTGTTGATCCTCCTTCTTATTGTACTCCTCATTAGCATCTAGGGTTTCATTTTCATGTAATCCTGCTTTACAAATTTTGCATGTGATTATTTTGAAATTGTCTAGTTATTAAATATTGGAAACACTTTAGATGTATACAATATTCAGCAAAAGAATCATGAAGGATAAAAATTTAGAATAGCGAACGAATCATAATTAATAAAAATTTAAAATACTTATAAAGTGTTTTAATAATAATAATAATACAATAGAAGAAAGAAAATTATACCTATAGAATGAAGCTCAGAAAGTATTATTTTCTTTGGTAAAAAGTTATGAGAAATTTTATGTGTTTATATATAGACGTGGATTGTGTTTTTCTTTTTTCTTTTAAGATTTGTATTTTAGTTTTTTTCTTTTTCTAAATTGAAATATCTCTTTTTAAAACTTTTGTTTTTTTTCCAAATTGTATTTTCCTTTTTCTTTTATGATTAATATTTTAAGTTATTTTTCATTTATAAACAGAAATATATTTATTTATTTATTTTCCCACAAGTCGAACACGCGGACATAAAATGGGTAAGTTCGAGTGCCAAGAGCTACTTTTCCATGGTAGTTTATCAAATATTTGGTGTTTAAAGATCCAACGCCATCGGGAAATACGGATGCAATCTCCAACACTTCAGACCTCAGATCAAATTTCACCAAGAATGGTTCAGACTTGGTATAATAAGTGGAAGCAGTGTAATATAAAACACCATCTATGCACACACTATCAGTTCCAGACTCATAATGAAGAACGTTGCATTGGATCATTCTCCACGAAGAATCTTGAGCTCCCAGAGTGAGGACTTGGTGCTGACAAAACCGGTTAGTATTACTGGTCAGGCACAACACTTTATATTGTGCATCGATCGGATCATAACCTAAAAAGCTTCTGATGATTGTTTCTTCCGTTTTGACAATGGGTAAGGTTATAGACCTACCGGTACTAGGATTACTTATGATTTGTTCATCATCATATACAACGCTTGTCAACCCATGAACGTAACAAGGCTTTTGGTACCGCGTTTTCTTCAAGCGACATACCGTTCTTGATACAAAATCAGGTGCTACCAGAGCTTTAGGTTTCCGACTCTTCCTTTGGGTAGCCATCTGGTTCGGTTCTGGATACGAAACCGGGTTGACTTGGAGAGAAGCACCAGTGTTCTTGATTACCCTCTATTTGTTTGTTGATGGCCAAGAGGAATCGAGGATGCTTCTGTGGAGAAGACCTAAACGAATAGGATCTAAAATCACGACTGCGGATGATTGTTGCCCATAACTTTGACACGCCAACGAACCTGGCTACAGATTTCGCAGGCAATATCAAGAGGATCTGGAACAACAAGTCCACTGGGATTGGATCCAGAGATTTAAGATCTCCTTCGCCATGCCAACTCTTGCTTTGCATTCTGCAACCCTAATACTCTCTTTCCATCTTTCCCTTGAACCTACAGATATTATATATTACATGTTTTTAATTTAAAAAAAAACAATACGAAAAACGTAAACTAATAGTTACACGAGAGTTTTGGGGTGGGGGTGGTGGTTTGCTAAATATGTTTTTGCTAAATCTGTTTTATTGAATGTAGTATTTTTAAAAGTTATTCAAAATTTTAAGTTATTGAATTAGTTATTTATACAAATTTCTTAATAGTTAAAAATCATTAGATAAAAATACCAACGCATATGATATTATCTGAGAATTGTTTTTTAATGCTAAACAAATAAGTGATGATATTTTTTTAAAAAAAGTTATAAAAATATATCTAAAATTTCTTAAAATCTCAAATCTTTTTAAATCCCTAAAATTTTGTATATATCTTATTATATAAAGTTGGATGCGTCAAAGTTAGTAATTCACTACAATATTTCAAAGAAAAAAAGTAATTAAAAAAATAATTGTAAATTTCAATTAGATAAATTTTCTTATACCACCACAGTGGATTGGTTATAAATTTATGTTTGAGTTCAAGACTGTGCTTATTTATTAACTGAATAATTGTCTAGTTCATGATCTCTGATTCCTGCAAATTGTCCTTGACCTAACGCCTGTTTTAAATGATATTTTACAGAATTTATTTGCCATTTTCGTTTTACTTTACAACCAACAACCATATTCTTGTCTTAGCTTAGTTTTTTTATTAAGATTTGTAGTGTGACAATTGGTCCTTGTGAATTCGATATTTAATTATTTAAATGCCAAAATTACCATAACCAAAATTTAATTATTTAACTTAAACCAAGTCGATATTTTATCAATTTAAACAAATGTTTTTACTTAGTTCTGACAGCAATAGCAATGGTCTTGATGTAAATGTTATAGATTATAGTTTGATGGTTTAGAAACATATGTTTTTAATAAATGTTTGATAAAAAATTAAATTCTATAATTCAAAATAATCAAATTAATTAATATGGTTTTTTCAAAAAGTGTCATTTTGCTTTACCATAACCAAAATTTAATTATTTAACTTGAACTAAGCCGATATTTTAACAATTCAAACAAAATTTTCTACTTAGTTCTGACAACAATAGCAATGGTCTTGATGTAAATGGTATAGATTATAGTTTGATGGTTTTTAAAAAAATGTTTTTAATAAATGTTTGATAAATAAATAAATTCAATAATTTTAAAATAATCATATTAATTAATAGTTTTTTAATAAAAAAGTGGCATTTTTCTTTCTGTAGTTACAAATGATGATCACGTCGCAACTTAGTAGAGTAAGTAGATTATATTGGCCATTAGTATGAAGATACTAAAAAATCAGATAACTCATAAACTAATTTAGAAAGCGAATCAGCTCCGCCCCAATGGATGATTCCATATTTCTATTCACCATTTACAGTTTAATATATTAATATAAGTAGTTACAAAAAAAAGAAGGTACTAAAAAATATATTGCTTTATTCTCACATGTAAATGAAAGAAATATCTCTAAAGATCGTCTCATTCTCCATATGCTAAATCAAGAAATGATCTGTTAGCCAAATTTAAATATACCTCCTCTTTACATCTTACAATCATTTTTGCAATATGTGCCTATCGATAGAAGGAAATTGCCACTGTTTCGTTTTAGAAAATTTAAACACATGATAAAACAACTGTCATAAGCTTAGATTAAATTATACTCCGTATGAGATTTTTATTGGAATCATATATATTAGTGCATTAAACTTATCTATTATGATACAACATCTTTCATATTTTAGTTTTATTTGATAATGGTGATTTATAAATATGATGAAAGAGGTTCCCTTTTGTTTGTATAACTCCGGCGCTAATATACATTTATAGCTAGTTAATTAATTAAGCAAATTTGATAGCACATTATAATTTTAAAAACAATAATAAGGATTTACAATATTTATTTAGATTAATAATATATAAATACATAGCTTAAGGTAATACAAATTAATATAGTACTCATTTATATTATAAAAATAAATTTATCATATTAAAAATATATATAAAATTTAGAAAAATATTTTGCAGCGTAGTGCGGGTAAATACCTAGTTTCTCTAAAAATGTTATTAAAAATCATCACATCTTTTAAATATTCTAGAGAATTCTATTAGTTAGTTATCTAGACATCTGTATAAAACAATTTAAGATATTTTGAGACAAAAATAGATATTGCGGTAGAGAATTCTAGAGATTAGGAAAATATTTGTAAAAATATTTTGTAATAAGTGAAACCTATAAATAGCCTCTATCATTTGTAAACATGAGAAGTGGAATAAATAAAAAGTGTTCTTCGTAAGTTCTTTTATTCTCTCTAAAATTCTTTCAAATTTTTTAAAATACTATTCCCTCTCTTTATTCTTACTTAGAAGGGTTTTTGTTTCTTTCAGGTCTCTTGAGTATTACAGTACTAGGGTAAAGTCCACGTGTTGCGCAGATTAGTGATATTTTAACGATTTAAAATTTATAATATATTTTATTATATTTGTTAGTAAAAGATTATCGATCAATGTTAGTTTTTAGGTTATGAATACCATGCAATTTGTTAAAATTTTGTATTATAATATTTATATAGAATGAGGTTTGACCCTGTTAGGAAAGTGTAACTGTCAATATTCTTTGAAAGCACGCAAGGATGATTGGAAAGAAAATTCGGAGAGTAGAATTCAGATTGTGATAGTAGTGCCGGTTTGAGGTTCGATGGGGTATGGAAGGAAAGAGTGAACCATCAATCTAAAATGATTTCATGAAAGCAAACAATGAATAATTTTCTATTCGACTGGCTACAAAAAAAATATAAAGTAATGAAACTATTTTTTGCTATAAGTAATATAACAATCAGCTCTTGAAAGTTAAAAAATGTAAAAAAAAAAATTGTGAAGTAGGAGACATAATGAATGAGAACCGGGTGGGAAGGGAGAAAAAATCACAATGTTATTTTTGTGTTTGTTCGATTAAAAAAAATCTAGGAGAGATAAGGAGAAAAAAAAAATTTGACACATAACCTTACTCTATTATATAAGATTTATACTTTGTTGGTTAATTTGATTTTTGTTTTTTTTTGTTGGATGAAAAAGAATCATGTAGAGGAGAGAAAAAATAATCGAAGCTTCATTTTTATATTTGTTTGATAGAAGAGAATCAAGTAGAAATATGAAAAAGTGACACATGTCAATTTATAAGGTGACATGTGGCAGCATATCAGAGATGCTTTTAAAAACAAGTCTTACTATATAATGCATTATTTTCTGTTCGATTAGTCACAAAGAAAACTTAAAGAAATAAAATTATTTTTTTGCGCAGAAGTATACCAGAATCAGCTATTAAAAGTAAAATAAACTTCTAAAATAATATGAAGTAGAAGACATAATAAAAGACAATCGGGTGGAGAATGGAGAAAAAAAGTCAAAGTGTTGTTTTTGTGTTTATTTGATAAAATAAATCCAGCAGAGTTAGGAGAAAAATAAAGAGAAAACAATTTTGACACATGATCTTAATCTATCATATAAGATTTGTACGTTGTCAGGTGATTTTTTTTTTGTTGAATGAAAAAGAATCATGTGGAGAAGAAGAAAAAAAACTGAAGTTTTATTTTTTTGATAAAAAGAATTTAGTAGAAATATGAAAAAAATATAAAAAAAGAGAAAAGTGTCACATGCCAATTTATAAGATGACATGTGGCAGCATATCAAAACTGGTTCTAAAAAAACCTTATTTTATTAGATAATGTGATATGTAGCAGCATAGCAGAGATGTTTCTAAAAAAATCTTACTATATAATGTATTATTTTCTGCTCGATTAGCCACAAATAAAACTTAAAGAAATAAAATTATTTTTCGCGCAGAAGTATGTCACAATCAGCTCTTAACAATAAAAAAATTTCTAAAATAATATGAAGTAAGATACATAATGAAAGAGAATTGGTGGAGAATGTAGAAAAAAAATCTAAGTGTTGTTTTTGTGTTTATTTGATTCAATAAATCCATGAGAGATAGGAGAAAAAAAAGAAAGAGAACAAATTTAACACATGACCTTACTTTATCATATAAGATTTGTATTTTGTTAGATGATTTGATTTTTCTTTTTTTCTTTGTTGTATGAAAGAGAATGGTGTGGAGAAGAAGAAGAAAAAAAAAACTGAAGTTTTATTTCTGTGTTTGTTTGATAAAAAGAATTCAGTAGAGATATGAAAAAAAAATGTCACATGTCTATTAATAAGATGACATGTGGCAGCATATCAGAACTGATTCTAAAAAAAAACTTACTTTATTAGAATAATTTTTGTTTATTTGATTCAATAAATCCAGCAGAGATAAGAGAAAAAAAAAAAAAAACGAATTTGACACATGACCTTACTCTATCATATAAGATTTGTATTTTGTTAGATTGATTTGATTTTTCTTTTTTCTTTGTTGGATGAAAGAGAATCGTTTGGAGAAAAAGACAAAAAAACTAAATTTTTATTTCTGTATTTGTTTGATAAAAAGAATTCAGTAGAGATATTAAAAAAAATTGCCACATGTTAATTTATAAGATGACCATGTGGCAGCATATCAGAACTGGTTCTAAAAACTTTACGTTATTAGAATAAATAAATAGATAGATAGATAGATAGATAGATAGATAGATAGATGGATAGATAGATAGATAGATAGATAGATATATAGATAGATAGATATATAGAAAGATAGATAGATTGGGCTAGTACTAAGCACTATTTTTGATTTTTTTACAATCAGGTTATGAATCATCTAAAACTAGAGCTTTATACTCATCCACAGAAACTAGTTGGTTTGGTTCTCGCTTTGAAACCGAGTACAATGGAGTGAAAACAAGCGTTGACTTGGAGAAGAAGTACCAAGGTTCTTGATTACGCTTTATTTGTTCGTCGGAAGCCAATAAGAGTCGAGGATGCTGCTGTACCTAAACGAATAGGATCTGATAAAATCACGACTGCAGATGATTGTTGCCCATAAATTTGATATGCAAACAAACCTGGCTATAGATTTCACATGCAACATCAAGAGGATCTCGAACAACACGTCCATTGGGATTGGATCAAGAGATTGAATATTCTTATTCCTCTTCTTTGCCATGCCAACTCTTGCTATATCTTCTTAAAGCCTAATACTCTCTTACACAAAGATATTATATATTACATGCTTTGAGGAAATAATAAGAATTTAATGATATATAGTGAAAATTAATACGCTATATTTTAATCTATCATGCAGGTTTAAAATTTATAACTAGTTTAGAGAAAAATCTATTAATCTAATATATACTAGCTTTAGCATTTTGAATTTATTCAGTTTTCAGTTTACACATCATATTGATTCTGCTAGTTCATTATTCACATACTCTACTATTCTGCTATTAAGTTGACATACCAATCTAACACAATGTAAAATATATAACCCTGTAAGGAAAAATGCTAGAAATACACTAATATCTTATAATTACCAACAGTACTCTTATAATAATTTTCATTTATTTTCTTATATTATTTTAATTAAATGATATTTTTACAATAAAACTTTACCAACTTGGCAAATTATTTGTATACATATAACTAATGCAAACATAAAAGAGGTCTTTGGCAGATTAACGGCAGATAATAAAAAATCAATCTTTATACTGACGGTAAACTAATGACAAAATAATAGCAAATTAAAGACAGACTAACAGAGATATTAAAATCAAACTGAAGACAGATTAACTGCATATACAAAATCAATCGGCATACTGAAATTACACTAATAGCAGACTAAATGCAAAACTAACAACATATAAAAATCAACTTGCAAACAGAAAATAGACTAAAGTCAGACTAAAGACGAAGTAAATGCAAACTACTAGTAGAATAATAACAATATTAACTAAAATTAAAATAAATTATTTTAAAAAATAATGGCTCTTTTGTTATTATTTTAAAAATGATTGAATCAACTGTAATTATGAAAACCTTTTTACAATTTTACCTATAAGAGATACCATATTCACATTAAATTTGCCAAATGAACTATTTTCACAAACTTCCCAAGGAAAAAATAGATATACAAAAGTTTTAATGTGAAACCCATTAAAGGTCCAAAAAAAAATCATAATCTTAGATTAACCTAAATTGGATGTGAGTTTGGGGATGTGTATAATTCGAGTTGCGTAAGCAATTATTTATAGCCACCATCTGATTTCAAGCAATCAAAAGAAGAATTCAGAGAGAGTGGGGATGTGTATAATTCGAGTTGGATAAGTAATTATTCATAGCCACCATCTGATTTCAAGCAATCAAAAGAATAATTGAGAGAGAAAGAGAGAGAGAATGCTAGAAATACACTAATATCTTATAAATACCAACAGTACTCTTATAATCATTTTGCTTTGTTTTCTTATATTATTTTAATTAAATGATTTTTTTTACAATTAAACTTTACCAACTTGGCAAATTATTTATATACATATAAATAATGCAAACATAAAAGAGGTTTTGGGCAGATTAACAGCAGATAATAAAAAATTATTTTACAATTTTACCTATAAGAGATACCATATTCACATTAAATTTGTCAAATGAACTATTTTCACAAACCTCTTGTTCGAGAGGGTGATTTTCGGGGAGATTTTCCGACGACTCCGAGGGACCCGAAAGACGATCTACATATGGTTGGAAATCTCTTGCTGTCAGATATTCAAACCTTTTTTCTGTTACCGATTCTGAGATCAAAACTGAACTAGGGAGGCAAGATCATTAGTGGTATCTGATAGAGGACGTTTCAGGGAAGCCGTAGAAGGAAATGCCACCACTTGAAAAGTTTTAGATTGTCTAGATCAGCTTCAGCCACTGTCTTTTCAGAAGTCAGATATCAGCATAAACCAGGCGAGGGTTGTGATATGTGGAAGCACAATTCACATTCTTTCCATTATTATACATGAGTCATTGTGCATAAGCTTAGACCTGATTGCTAGAATATGTTATGTGATGATGTGCTTAGAAGAATGAGATGATATAATATGATATGATGAGATGAGATATGAGATAAGTTATGAAATATGTTATGAGATGTGATGTGTTATGTTATGTACCCATGATAGAAGTGTTTGAGCCGAGGCCAGCCTCTAAAACATGAGGTTCTATGGCTATCACGAGGATAGTGCACCATCGTTTCAGGGAAGCAGTAGAAGGAAACGCCACCACCTGAAAAGTTTTAGATTGTCTAGATCAGCTTCAGCCACTGTCTTTCTATCAACTTAATTCAGGTGAGGGTTGTGATCTGTGGAAGCACAATTAACATTCCTTCCATTATTATACATGAGTCATTGTGCATAGGCTTACACCTGATTGCTAGAATAGGTTATATGATGATGTGCTTAGAAGAATGAGATGATATAATATGATATGATGAAATGAGATGTGAGATAAGTTATGAAATATGTTATGAGATGTGATGTGTTATGTTATGTATAGCTGACGAGCCCATGATAGAAGTGTTTGAGCCGAGGCCAGCCTCTAAAACATGGGGTTCTATGGCTATCACGAGGATAGTGTACCATTATTTAGAGATGCAGAACTTAAGGTTATGTATTCTATGGCTATCACGAGGATAATGCACCATCACTTAGGGATGGAGAACCTAGCGTTTTGTAAATGTCTTGCTTTATTGGCAAGAAGAGTATTTTGTGTTATAGCTTAGTTAGTTAATATGGCTATATGATTAATACTGTTTAGGATTATGTGTTTTGATGAGTGTCAAATATTTGTAGAAATGGTAATTATCTATCAGTGGGCAGAGATGATCTTCCTCATTGATTATTTAATAATCACTCCTTTCTTTTCATTTTCTTCAGGCCATGATGGAAATCTTGAGTAGCTGCTCAAGTCTGTTTTGCTTCTTGGTGTTATTTCGGAAATTGGATTTTATTTTCTTTTATTCAAAATACAATATCTTATAAATATTACTAGGTGATCGGCCCGTACCATATGCTGGCTATAAAACATTTCATATGTTTAATATATGATTAATATAGTACATATATTGAATATGCTTTATATGTACATGATTAATTATGTATTAATAATAACAGTATATAAATATTTAATAATAAAAAAACGAAACCAAATGAAAAATATTCTAGATTTTAGTAGAAATTGAAGATAAAAAATACACTAATTAAATGTAAATATGATAACTAAATAAACTGAAAATATTAAAATATATTATAATTTATTTGATTTTTATTTTTGGCCCGTACGTATGTGCAGATACAATTTTTTATAGATATACAATAGAAACTCTATAAATCAATAATGTTGGAACTTTGATATTTTATTAATTTATAGAGTTATTAATTTATAGATTTTAATAGTTAATTTGGGTAAAATACTTTTAAATACTGTCTTTTATTGAAAATAATAAGTTTTCCTTTTAAATGTATATGTTTCCTTCATTCAAATTTTATTTTACTTGATTGTTTACATATTTTCATGTTTTTCATATTACTTTCTTCTGTTTATTTCTTTTTGGTTTTGTATTACGGGGTTTATAAGATTCAGAAGCTTTACGTTCATATGTTCACATCAAAAACCATTGTTTCACTAAAGAGAATTGGCTTTTTGTCCTTCTTAGTTTACTGGCCAATAATAGCTCCTCATCTGAAAAAGTTACGAAGTCAACAATGACGGATCAAGAACGTAAACAATTACGTGAATACAAGAGAGATCATGCCGCATGCACTTAAAAAGATCTGCAATCATGGCTTGAAGAAAAGTTTCAATTAAAAATTAGCCAAGTTACAATATCAAACACGCTTAAACGTTCAGCAGATTATCTTTCAGCCAACCTAGAAGGAGTAAGAGATATCAAACGACACAAATCAGCAAAATATCTAGATATGGAGAAAGTTGTTTTCGAATGGTTTCTTCAATATCAAGATCGTGTGAATATGACTGGTGAGCTAATTATAGAAAAGGCAAGAGAAACACTGAAACTTTTATACCCTCAACAAGAACCTGAGCACAAGCTTTCTCCAGGTTGGCTTGGAAAGTTTAAGTTACGTCATGGTATCAAATCTTTTCGACGTTTTGGAGAGAGTGGTTCGGTTGATATACAAGATATGGGGAAGAATTTGGAGCTTATAAGAGAAAAAATAAATGAATTCCGTAAGAAAGATGTTTTCAATATGGATGAAACAGGTTTATTTTATAGGTTACAAGCTGATCATTCTCTTGCTACAAAACAACTTGAAGGAAGATAACAAGATAAAGAAAGGTTAACATTTGTTATTTGCTGCAATGAAGATGGTTCTGAAAAAATTCCTTTGTGGATTATTGGAAAATATGCAAAACTAGGTTGTTTCAAGAATATCAACATGGATAGCTTAAATTGTCACTACCGTTCTAACAAAAGAGCTTGGATGACTAGTGTGATTTTTGAAGAGTATATCCATTGGTTTGATAAGAAAATGCATGGAAGAAGAGTTTTGTTTGTGGTTGATAATTGTCCAGCACATCCAAAACATATCGAAGGACTACAAAACGTTGAGTTATTCTTCTTACCACCCAACATGACTTCAAAAATTCAACCTTGTGATGCTGGAATAATAAGAGATTTTAAGATGCATTATCGTAGAAGACTCTACCGTCAAATTTTAGAAGGTTACGAGTTGGGACAAACTGATCCAGGTAAGATTAATGTTTTGGATGCTATTAATTTGCAGTTTCGGCTTGGATAGCTAATGTTCAGCAAGAGACAATAGCAAATTGTTTTCAACACTGCAAAATTCGTTCAAGAGCTGTTGTATCAGAGAATTTAGAAGAAGAATCCACTTGCGAAAACGACATTCATGAACTTGATGATGTGATTAATAATCTCGGCTATCGCAATAGAATGGATGTCAATAGCCTACTCGAATATCCTGGTGAAAATGATACGTGTTCAGAACTTCAGAGTTTAGAAGAAATTGTGACTACTATCCTTAATGTTGATGATGAGCTTGAAGATGATACTACAATACATTTGGAAAAAGTTACCCGTAAGGAAGCAATTATTTAGAAAATCTATGAAAATATTTTATTATAATGACTTTAATA